TTTTATAAAATTATAATTTTAAAAATTTATAATAAATAAGAGAGAGAGAGAGAGAGGGGGGAGAGAGAGCGGGAGAGCGGGAGAGCGGGAGATTGATTGATTGATTGATTGATTTTTATTAGCTTTCTCAGCTATTTGTAATACAAATCTAGTTTACATTAATTACAATATACTCCTTTAACATTCGCTTAAACGACACAATTCTTTCATTCTGCTTTATTTCAGCTGGCAAGGCGTTATACATTTTTACTCCTTCGTAAAACATACTCTTTTGCGCACTCCTTGTTCTGCGATATTTTATTGCAATATTCCCAGCTTGTCGTGTTTGCCTTTCACTCTCATTTCCCACAATTTCTAATCTATTTCTTAATTGCTCCGGTAGCATGTTCCTTAAAATCTTAAAAATAAATATACACACATTATAATATAGCCTCTGTTTTATGGACATAAACTGCAGCGCTTGCAGCATACGCTCCACTTTGGTATGTCTATCACATTGCAATATGATCCTCATGGCCCGGTTTTGTGCTTTTTGCAATTTACTCAGCTGTGTTTCTCCCATATCAATTAACAGGGTCGCACAATACTCAAAGTGAGGTGCTATAATTGTTTTATATACAATACATCTAGTGTATGCCGATATATAATTACCTATTCTATTTAAAAAACTCGTTTTTTCCCCTATTTTTTTAAGCATATAATCACAGTGATCCTTATATCGTAGTCTATCGTCAATAATTATGCCTAGGTATTTTATTATTTCCGCACGTTCAATCTCAGTTGCATCCAAACATTTCAATGTTATATTACCTCGCAGTTCTTTTCTTATACTTTTAACAATCATATATTTCGTTTTTCCTGCATTCATTTTTAACTTATTTATATTCATCCACTCTTCTACTATAGTAAATGCCATATTCATTTTGCTCTCTAATTCCGCGCTGCTTTCTCCAGTTACATATATTAACGTATCATCTGCAAACATTTTTATACTACATCCTTCTGGGACAGATTTTTATTATATCATTTATATATACTATAAATAATAAAGGTCCTAATACAGATCCTTGCGGTACTCCATATTCTGTGGTCACTTGAGAAGACTTGTCCCAGAGCGCGTAATAAATAACGCTTTCTCTTTCTCTTTCTCTCTCTCTCTC